TCACTCTCCAACCATTTCACTCTGCACCTGTACTGCTGAGGTGGGCTGCAGGGCAGCTTGGCCCTGCTCCGTGCTCAGGTTCATTTGTTGGTGGCTCAGAGCTGGCAGCATGCAGGTATTTTCACCTTGTAATGTTGCAAATGTTTCAAATGAGGACAGGGTTTGTTGTATTGGTTTACAGGCCTAGGAAGGTGACGAGAACACACTTTAAAATGTGGATTCCACTTCAAAGTGTGTCACACATTATGGCTGTTACATGGTGAGTGACACAAAAATTATAATCCTGGCTTTATTTTGCCTATTTGTTTGTTTTCAAAAGCTGTCTTTTAGTTCACAGCCTTGACAAACAAGATGGTGGTTCTGGTACTTAAGATGTTAAAGTCAGTGCAGGTACAGGATGGAAGCTCCGGTTTAAGCTTCATGCAGCCCCTTCCTGGCTCCTTACAAAGATCGTTCTGTAGTCATGAAACATAAGCGAAATTTGCCTCCTAATCTTAGAAGAGTTTCTGAACTGAGGACCTGGCCCAGATGCTAAGAGGAAAACATTCCTTTTAGAGCAAAGGAGACTGTCGTCGCGGCTGAGTGTGGCTCTCTAGAAGCTATGGTGTTAAGAGGTTAACTGCTGTCTTGGCCAAGGTGACAGTGAACAGCAAGGCTCAGCGGTGAGCGGGCCCCAGGAACATGGCAGCAGGAGGCCGAGGCTTCCAGAGACTCAGCAAGATGGGCCCTGGGATGAGGCGTGGGCTGTGGACTCCAGAGGTCTGACATCTGCCCACCAGTTTGACCCTGCCCTTTCTGCCTGCAACTCACTCATGTTAGCCTGAATCTCAGAAACAGTCAAACGTCTGACTGTCAACTCGACTCAGTCTAGAAGAGATGACTGTGTCGTTCTCAGGCCAGAGAGAGCTGCTATCTGTGCGGGGACAGAGGGAACTAACAGATACCACCTGTCAGGGGTGATACCACAGGCCCAGGACACAGTCAGAGGAAAGAGACAGCCTCAGAATTTCTCAAAAAAATAAAGAGCTCAACAAAGACTCCAAGTCGCACTGTTGACTCTCACTAGTACCAGCAATCACTGTTACAATGTCCTTAGTGATGTTGCTATTTTGTAGCGTAATAGTGTTTGTTGTGTTAATATATCATCAGATTGAAATAATAGTTACTGTTACTCTTCAAGTGTCTTCCCACTCCATATGCCTTCCCCTTCACACCTGATGGTAGAAACTACGAGAACTCAACTTGCAAGGAGCGTTCATAGTAAATGTCTTATCTCTAGTTTTAGATCTACCTTTAACTATTAACTCAGACCTAAAGGGTTTCTACTTACAGGTCCATCAAGCTGACTCAGGCTGCCCAGCCACCGAGTACACTCCCCCGCCCTGCCAGAAAACCACAGTAGCCAAGAAAGCTTGGACAGAAAAGGGGCCAAAGGAAAGTAAGACAGTTTTATTTTCACTCGTCACTGATAGACTCCTAGCACTTTAACTAACCACTTCTAAGAATATAGTTGAACACATAAAATTCCCCTTGCTAAGATATTAACTGAATTTAGCCCTCAGTGGATTCTATTCCCCATTAGTCATTTCCCTTTTGGGTTGCAGATGATGGCTGGCAATTACTGCTCTTTTGTGTGGATCTTATTGCCCCTCCTTTTGACCCTGAGGGAATTCAAGCCTGGTGACCTTGCCTTAGCTAGAGCATTGCTATTGCATGAGTATATAACTGTAAACCTCCGAGACTTGGAAGGACGAGACAGAGAAGAAAAAAGAGATTGGAAGAACTAGATTACAGGACTAGAAGAGAGCACTAGAGGGATGAGATGGAAGATGAGGAAGAGCCAGATGGGGAAGAACAAGATGAGAAAGAAGGAGATGGGAGAGGAGCTGGGATGGGAAGGAACCAGATGGATGAGAACCTAGATAGGGCGGAACTAAGATGAGAGAATTAAGATAGAACTTGGAGGAGACAGCAGATAAATGTAGAGAGAAATCAGGCAAGAAAGGAGCTAAGCATGAGAGCAGAATAGAAGCTGTGTGGAGAGAGAACTGATGCAGAATAATAAAGTGAATGGAATAAAGAGTTTCATGTACGTAGATTTATTGGAGAATCCCTCAGATTTATTTGCCGCCACTGGTAGCATCTCTTCTGGAACTCTGAGGAAGGCTATCAAGGGGCTGGACCCCAACAGCATTCAATAAGAGAAAACTCGCAGAGTAAATCAGGTTTGTTCCATGGAGTGAATGGTCATTTTTCTTGGCCCAAGAAATTTTGTGTCTGTTCAGAATTTTCCTTCTTGGGTCACAGCCCTAGGGGACCAGGAAGAAGGCCAACAGAGCTTTAAGATGTTCCCTCAGAACTTGGACTTGCTCCCTGGTTCTGTGAAACAGAAATCGAGCCCTGCTCCAGCCCTCCAAACGCAATTCCCAGACTCCAGCAAGGGCACAGGTACCTGAGCACACAGGTGCCCAGGTTAGTTTCTGAGAGCAGATACACAAATTCCAAAGCCAGCATGCCGTGGACAAAAGGTCTCCCTGGTGGGAAATACTATAGTTGGTTTTTTTTTTAATTTTTTTTTTCTCTTTTGCTCTTTTAGGGGCCTGCCACCCAGCTCCCAAATAAACCACATGGAGTCTTATTCTTTCTTATGAATGCCCAGCCTTAGCCTGGCTTGTTCCTAGGCAGCTTTTCTTAACTTAAGTTATCCCGTCTACCTCTTGCCTCTGGGCTTTTACATTTTTTCTCTTCTAGATACCTTTCTTTCCTTCAACTCCATGGCTGGCTATGTAGCTGGGTGGTTAGCCCCTTGCATCCTCCTCTCCTTCTCCTTTTCTCATTCCTTGATCTTTTCTTCCCAGATTTCTCCTCTTATTTATTCTCCCTGCCTGGCAGGCCCACCTATCCTTTCTCCTATCTAGATATTGGCCATTCAGCTCTTTATTAGACCAATCAGGTGCTTTAGAGAGACAAAGTAACTAACACAACGTCACAGAATTAAGCAAATGTAACACAAAAGGATGCAACACATTTTGCATCATTATAGAACTGCTCCACAGCGTAAACAAATGTAACACATCTAAAATAATATTCCACAACAGAGGTTCATTTGCTTTAGTTTTCTTACATTTTTTTTGAGATTTTATTTATTTTTATGTGTATGAGTGTTTGCCTGAATATCAGTGCACTGTGTGTGTGCTATGCCCAAAGAGACCAGAAGAGGATGTTGGATGCCCTGGGACTGAAATTACAGTTGTGAACTGCCATGTGGTTTCTGGGAATTGATCTTGGTCCTCTGCAAGAGCAGCCAGTGCTCTTAATGGCTGAGCCATCTTTCCAGCCCCTTATTTTCTTTAATTATGTGTGGGGTGGGGTGGGGTGGGCTAGGGGTTGTCTATGTGTGGGTATGTGCATGTGAGTGTAGGTGCCCACAGAGGCCAGAGGCATTGGCTTCTTCCGAACCTGAGTTACAGGTAGTTGTGAGCCACCTCATGTAAGTGCTGGAAACAGAATTTGGGTCCTGGGTGAGAGCAGTGTGCTCTCTGAACTGCTGCGCCATCTCTATAATAAAGAGCTGAACAGCCAATGGCAAGGCAGGAAAGGATAGGCGGGGCTGGCAGGAGGAGAAATCTGAGAGGATCAATCACTGAGAAGAGAAGGAGAGGAGGAAATCAGGGTCCAGCCACCCAGCTACACAGCCAGTCACCGAGTAGGAAGTAAAGGAAGGAACATAGAATAGAGAAGGTAAAAGCCCAGAGACAAAAGGTAGACGGGGTAATTTAAGTTAAGGAAAACTGGCAAGAAACAAACCAAGCTAAGGCTGGGCATTTACAAGTAGTAATAAGCCTCCGAGTGTGTATTTATTTGGGTTGCAGGGTGGTAGGCTCCCCAAAGAGTCAGAGTTAAACAACAACAACAACCCTCAAGTAATTTTAATAACCAACCTTTCCCCATGACTTTTTTTTTTTTTTGCATTTGGAAGGATTGAGACGAGGGAGAGGGATGAAGGTTGAATTCATTTCTCCTTCTTCTACAACCTCTTTCTGCTGACCTGAAATCATTTCCATACATTTCCCTAATACTTGAGAGTTAATTGCCAATTTGCATTTTGGTTGCAGAGTCTAGGTCTCAGGATGGGAACGCCAGCTTTTATTTCAAGAAAAATAAGTGGAAGACTGCGGTGCTTCTCTTTGAAAGCCCCAAGGCTGGCAGAGCAGGAGCCTGCTGGCATGCCCTTCTCTTTTTCCCTCAAGTATCCGGTCCCTTCAGAATCTGTCACAGCACAGGGCCCGGCCACTGGGGTCATGCCATCAGACCTGCTCCCCACCCACAGCCTCTCCATACTGTGAGTTCTTATGATGCCCTTGGGATCCTGGTTGCCATGGATCTGCCCTTTGCAGCCAAACTTGGCATCAGTATCTTTTCTAAGCAGGAAACACTTGATATCAGGAAATCTTTTTTAGTAGGAAATTCTAATGGACACCCCAGAGTCCCTTGCAAAGCCTCTGTCTTGGGAGCCTTTTCTACGTCCTTTGACAGACAGCAGCCTGCTCACAGCATTGCTTTAACTGTCTCAGGAATATCATCGGCTTTCCACACAGACAGATGAGTAATAAGTCCTAGAAGTAGCTTCAAGGTGCATATAGACAGGGGACAGACGAGTGCCTGACACTCTCATTCAAATGTAAGCTTAATAACATGTGCTTAGCAATAGCCTAAAATCTGCTCACCTCATGGCTTCCCCTTCTGGTGTGATTCCCTTTCTCCACTTGTAAAAAAAAAAGAAAGAAAGAAAGAAAAAGAAAAGAGCACACAAGAGCATGCATTATGTGCTGGGTTGTCACAGTGAGACCTTATCTGTCACGTGCTCCATTGAGAGACTTACTTCCTAGCCTGTGTTTACTTAGATCCCTGTCTTCCCTGGCATTTTGCATCAGAGCTCCGCCCAGTTCCCCGGTGCCCCAGGCCGGCACGACTAGGAGAAGGAGATGGTGGAGGCGTACCTTGTACCTGGGTTTCCGCCCCCTCTTCTTTGGGATTGTCACTGCTGGTCCAGAGCCGGCAGAAGCAGAATAAAGGTTATGGACTGCCATGGGCACTGGCGTGGAGTGAAGGGGAGGCCGGCCGCGCTTCCTCCCCGGGACCTTCTGTGTCTGCATCTCCGCTGGGGCCAGTCTTACCGAATGAGGAGGCAAACCGCACGGGGAAGAGAGATCCTGGGAGTTAGTTCAGAGAGAAAGCAAAACAAAAACAGAAATGTCTGTTTGGTTTTCAAAGCACATAGCTCTGTGTGTGTATACCTCCCACTTACGGGAGAAAGGCAGGGTGCGTGGAAGAGAGACAGGCACCACTAGCCTACAATCCTGCTAGGTGCAGATGACAACCGATTCCTGGATCCAGACACACCTGATGTTGTCACCAGCAACTGAATGCTTTCACGTCTCAATTCAATTTTTGACTAATGAAATAGTATCACAGTCGTGATTTAAATACTGTATATATGACATTTCTATGTTTATGTTTAATGTTAAGTAGATCAATATATTATATTTAATATCATTGTATTACATAAATTCATTCATTCCCCCCCCATATTTAACCTTCTTTCTTTGGTTTAATTACAAATTGTCATCACTTCTTTTTCTCTTGAAAGAAATGTAACAATACATGTCAATTTCATTAAAGCCATGACATCCTTTACTCAAAATATGCACAGCGGTTTGCATTCAGAAATGTTCATTTCAACAATATCGAGAATTGCAGAAATAAAATAGATACAGCCCAAATAACCAATCTAAGGGAATAGCTAACACACCTACAAACTAAAACTGTCAACTGATTTAAAGCCTTTAGCAACACAGTTTGTAGAACATGATGTTGGGTGAAGGGAGCATCACACATGTAAGTGATGCACAAAAAAGATCTCAATTATGCAAACATTTATACGGTAAAATCAATGGAAGGAGGCATGCTAAAAGGTCACCTAGACAAAGATGGCCAGACTGTGGGAAACTGTTCACAGCACATAGTCCTTTGTACACAGCCAACAGTACTGACCATAAACTACTTAGGTAGAATTCCATAAATCTTGAAGCAAAGGTCACTGATTGACCTTGACCAGAGAGACCAGAAGAACTGGAAACTCAGAGGTCAGGTATCCTGGCATGGTCAGGACTGTGTAGAGTGGGGTAGAGCTTTAGACTTTAACTCAGGGGCAATGTTAGGTGATGAAATCCACTTCTACAGAGTAGTGGAACCTTCCAGAACCTTCTGGTGAGAGTGAGAAGGTTTTGCTGACAAGTCTGTAGAAGGTGTTAGGACAGCAGCATCTGCATGCCTTGGTGGGGGGCAGCAATGCAGGGACTGTATAATCACTTTACTCAGGGAAGGAAACGTAAAACACTTGACATTCTTCTAAAACATAACAGGGGAAGATTTGGTTTTGGAAATACCATATTAGGTGGATAGATTTTCTTTCTTTCTTTTTTTTCAGTGTGGGGCTTGAACCTACGGCCCTGTATACACCATGCAAGCACTTACCAGTGGGCCACACTTCCAACTCGATAAATAGAATTCTAAAGTAGAAATATTTTTATTTCACACACTGTTGAATGTTTCAGATAAAGAAACAAACTAGTCTATCTGTGGACCCAAGCTCAGTTCCCAACACCCCCCTCAGGCTGCTCACACCTGCTGTCACCCCCCTCAGGCTGCTCACACCTGCTGTCACCCCCCTCAGGCTGCTCACACCTGCTGTCACCCCCCTCAGGCTGCTCACACATGCTGTCACCCCCCTCAGGCTGCTCACACCTGCTGTCACCCCCCCCAGGCAGCTCATACCTGCTGTCACCCCCCTCAGGCTGCTCACACCTGCTGTCACCCCCCTCAAGCTGCTCACACCTGCTGTCACCCCCCTCAGGCTGCTCACACCTGCTGTCACCCCCCTCAGGCTGCTCACACCTGCTGTCACCCCCCTCAGGCTGCTCACACCTGCTGTCACCCCCCTCAGGCTGCTCACACCTGCTGTCACCCCCCCAGGCAGCTCACACCTGCTGTCACCCCCCTCAGGCTGCTCACACCTGCTGTCACCCCCCTCAGGCAGCTCACACCTGCTGTCACCCCCCTCAGGCAGCTCACACCTGCTGTCACCCCCCTCAGGCAGCTCACACCTGCTGTCACCCCCCTCAGGCAGCTCACACCTGCCTATAACTCCCCAGGCCTCTTCTGGCTCTTGCAAGCACCAGACTCACAAGCGTAAATCCTCATCTAGACACAAATGTACATGTAGTTACAAATAAAGTAAGAATAAGATAACGTACAGCAAAGAAACAGCCTGTTAAAGTTACCAATTTTCTTTGCTTCTGTGTGTTGAGGAAAATATCCCATTTCACTGATTTAAGAGACTTTTTTTTAAAAAATACGTTAACACTCATGGAATAAGGTTGTCCCTACAGCATTTCAAGCAGATCAGAATTCCAAGGGAGTAGGGAGAGTCTTTTTAAATTCTTAGTAAAGCATAAGATAATGACACATCTTGTAATTGAATACATCTTAGAGTCAATGAGTTGTGATTACTGTATAGGAATTCATAACATAAAAATCTATTTCTGGACTCCGCGTTCACGCTCCTTGGCATGAACAAAAGTGTTCACTGGCACAAAAGACGCCCAAAGCGCCGGTGGGTGGGTCAACCAGAACCAACAAGATCTTGTCAGGCGAGAGTGGGTCTTCTTTTGACCTACCGTTACCAAACGTCTGCTCCTTCCTTGGGAGTTTAAAGATTTCAGAAACAGAAGCCTTTCTCATTGTAGAGTGGATTTCTGCACCCTTATACTTTGCCTCAGTTTTTAAAGTTTATCTTGCTTTGTTTAGTTTTGGTTTCAGGGGACAAGGTCTTTCTACGCAGCCTGAGCAGTCTGGAACAGTGTCCTGTCTGCCTCAGCCTCCTGAGTGCTGTGATGGAGTTGTGTACGACAGGTCTATCCTACTTTGCCATTAATGTGGAGACTGACGATGTGTCTAGTAGCATCGGTATCAAATGAAGCAGGAGAAAAACCTATGGTCAGGGCTGAGGAGAAAGACCAGTTGAGAAAGTGCTCATCTTGCAAGGTAAGGATCTGGTCCCATCCCCAGAGCAAGACAGACAGGCATGGCGGCTGCGCTTGTAATCCCAGCACTGGAGGCAGAAACAGCTGGATCTCCTGGTTGGCTCACTGGCCTGCCAGTCTAACCTAAGTTGTGAGCCCAGGTCCCAGAGAGAGCCCCTGTCTCAGAACTAAGATAGACAGCATCTAAGAAAGAACACCGAGGTTAACCTCTAGCTTCCACGCTCATCTGTACACACACAGGCCTCTGCATGTACACGCACATGCATGTACTTCACAAATAAACAAAAATGTAATAATTTTTAAATGACAATGAAGTTTAAGACAATATGAGTTAGCTGGGTGGTGGCGCACGCCTTTAATCCCAGCACTCGGGAGGCAGAGGCAGGCGGATCTCTGTGAGTTCAAGGCCAGCCTGGTCTACAAAGCGAGTTCCAGGACAGGCTCCAAAGCTACACAGAGAAACCTTGTCTCAAAAAACAAAAAAACAAAACAAGCAAAAACAAACAAACAAAAAATATATGAGCAACAAAGTTTCAAACATAAGTAAATCTAAAAGGAGTCTTTGACATCTGAAAATTAAACTTAGCTTTCCCTAAACTGTTCCATATAACAAAAACTTCTCCTAGGGGAAAATAAAAAAACTATCTGTTCCACTAATTTCTTTCCCCCTGACATTCCACCTCCCTCTTCTTTTTAAGGAGGAAAACCCACGCCTCAGGCTGCCTCCCACTTGCTGCCTTCCACAGAAGCACCAGCCTTAAGCAGTGTGAGAGCCCTGCTGGATGACTAGTTTGATATATGCTGCTAATCGACCAACAAGGAGCCATTGTTGACAGAGTGGTGGGTACCACAGGGAGGGGAGAGAGAGCCAGAGGCGAGAAGTGTCCAAAGCTCCCTCAACCTGTCCTGCTGAGTGATTGCTCACTTTACTGCTAATCAGGGATGGATTCGCCAATACTCATCACAAACAAACTCAACGTTAAGTAACAAGGTTACTGACCTGAATAATAAATGAGTTTATTAGAACCATAGGGGCTCCTCTAAATGTCTCCATAGCATAATTTTAGAGTTTGGAGTGTCACTAGTAAAGTACCTTCACTTTCAATAACAGGTCCAGACACTTCAGGAAAGTAGGGGGGAGAGGGAATGCAGGTGCCCCCAAATCTCCCTTTCCAAAACTAAGATGTGGATTGAAAAGAGAGAGAATTTAAAATAATAATACTACAGATAGGGAAGGGCCTCAGCTTTGGAAAGCAGTGATAGTAACACACAGGAAATCCTGTTAGGGAGAGCAGAACAATGGAAGATAAACAGTGAATTTTATCATCCTTAAGTAAAGGTTCAATAGTAAAAGGAAAGGCAAACACTGGAATACATAATAAAAGACTCATTCAGAAGGAAGAGTCTCTCTGTGTCTTAAGAAAATAAGAATAGCTGGGTGTAATGATTCACGCCTTTAATCCCAGCACTTGAGAGGCAGAGGAAGGCAAATCTCTATGAGTTCGAGGCCAGCCTGGTCTGCAGAGTGAGTTCCAGGAGAGCCAGAGCTACATAGTGGAGCCATATCTCAAACAAACAAACAAAACATAAAAAAAGAAAAGAAAAATAAGAATGAAGACAAATTCTAATGAAAATAATATACTTAAAATTTATTAAGAAAAAAATCTACAGAAAGTTCAAAAATATATGGCCAGAGTTATTCTCTGCAAAATTATTTATAACAGTGAAGTACTGAAAACTATCAAAACAGCCTTGATGTGGTATATTACTTCAAACTCGTAAGATGGAATACTTTGTGGTTTTAAGCATGAGTGTGTGTGTGTGTGTGTGTGTGTGTGTGTGTGTGTGTGTGTGTGTGCACGTGTGTGTAAGAGGGCACATGCAGGGCACTTCTCTACAATGTTCGTATGGCTTCATGTGGGAATCGGCAGTGCTCTATGAACAGGCTGGGTCTGAGGTCGTCCTTGGGAAGAAAAAAACTAAAATGTGGTTTTTACTTTCTTTTGTGTGCCGTTTTAAATTCTTGGAATTTTTAAACCAGAGACAGATATGAATAGAAAAATAAACAATGTCTGAATGAGTTTCCTTCTCTGAGAGCTGTTCCTGCT